ATCAGAATATTTCTCCAATTTCCTCATCCTTTTAAATACCTACCAGCATAGCTGTTAGGACCTCATAGGGTCAAAAGCCAGGCCAGGACTTCATAGTACTAAAAGCTATTTCAACAAAGAACGAAAGGGAAACTCCATGCCATTTACATATAAATTATTTAAGAATAATTGAGAGATAAACAGGAGACAGGAAGAGACTGTGATACAACATTAGAAGACAAACACTTAGGAGGCTTCAACAAATTTCATTCAACATTAAAGAGATTTCTTTCTACACTCCAATATTTATTATACTTCATAGAAAGTAGAAGAAAAAATCAGTAAAATTCTGGCAAAATTCCCTCTGAATTTATTAAGGCTAAGATTATATTCTTGACCTGAGCCTCAACCAGCAGGTGCTATGTGAGTGCACAAAGCACCCCGGAGGCAGATGATAAAGTCTGTGCTCTCTGATGTTGGAACCTCCTATATGAACCACTGGCCTTTCTCAGTATCTGTTCCCTGTTTTCAGCCCACTTGACCAGGCTCACATTCAAGCTCTTCTCAAGGGTAGTGCAGCAGAGAACAGTGCAGACACCACAGTCAGACAGCTTTCTAGGAAAATTCCTTTTGACTGAGGAAGCAAAAATAAATTGGCCTAAGGATGTGCACTTCCCGTTGCCAGTGGAGCTGTGATGAGAGACGCTTTAACTCAATCACAGCTCGTTTAGACTTCGGTGAGGGGTGGGGAAGGTCTCCCCTGTGGACACTGTCAGTGGTCTACAGAGTTCAGAGGGCTCCTTATTTCGAATGGACCAAAGGTGACGGCTTCCCCAAGCACTGGTGACCTAGCAAACAAAGATATGTTTTTCCCTGGGGAGAGAATGAGCACTGTTTGGCAACTGGGAGTTTGCATGATTAATGCATGAGGGTGAGTCATCTCCTCAGATCTTGATCCACTGGGTATGCAAATCGTTCTCCTTCCCTTTTGCGATTTTCATGTCAGGCAGCTTTCTTTAACGTGCTTAATAGAAAGGCTGGATTGGCCATTGATACATAGCTCATTATTTCATCACTTTTTTCTTTTTTAACTCTCTTACTAATTACCTTGAACCTTTCATATCTTCTTGTACAGAAACTGCTCCTTGGACTTTCAAGTTATTTCATTTTTTTTACTGTAAGGTTTTTTTTTTCTGTTTCTTTATATCCTATTTCTTTATGGATTCAAAAATCTCCTTGCCAAATCTCTCTTCTCCAAAACTCCTAACATGGGAGACTGAACTCAGATAAAAAATAAACACAAGTGTGGGCCCAGATTCAGCCTTCTTTTGAAAGGAATGAACTAATGGTGCTTTTTTTTTTATGATCGAGAAAATTTTAGGTCATTATGAGATAATCATTTTTCTGCTTTGACCTGTATATATTAATTGCATCTTCTTGTGGAGATGATCAAGTGCTCATCTTGGAGGGAGTGAGACTATCACTTTTCTACCAGAAAAGAAACTTTTAACTGAGTTTGAAACAGCCAACTGAGGCTTTTACAAGCAAATGCTACAGATGATGCCTGAGAACAAGAAAAAGAACTGAAAGAGAAATTAAAGTGGGTGAACATCTTATTATCCAAGGCAGAGGGGAACACCTAGTTGACAGATAGTGTTAATGACGAAAACCTAATCCAATCTTCACAGTCCTTTTAATCACCTAACATACTATTTTGCAAAGCAGCTGAGCATGTAAAAAAATGCTGGGTCAAAATCAGGAGCTCGGTGCTATTTGTGCAAATACAGTACACATCCAGATAATTGTGGGACAGCAGCCAGGTCACTTAGGAGCAAGCACGCAAACCTCATGTTCAGCCTCCTGGCAGAAAGCATTCATGCCAGAAGCATGATTAATCCCAGCAAAGAAGGGTGTTTATGGGGTGTCACAGTACTGGCTGAACTGCCCCTTAGAATGCACACCAGCCAGCTGTATTTGGACCCACATGCTGGATTCGTGTGCTTTTAAGTTCCCTTGGGTCTGGGCAGACTCCAAATACAGTCAGTTTGTGGCTCCAGCCTCTCAGGAACACTTCCCAGGCGCACTTCTACATCTGTACCTACTATTGTCTTTAAGGCAAAAGGCCTTTTTTTTAGGGGACCACTGAAATATCACAGAATTTGTAAAGAGATATTCAGATAGAGGTTGCATTTGCTATTGGCTAAAAAGCAGAGATACAAAACAGAAAGAAAAAACTCTGTACATCATTTTCTTCTTCTTGGACTCTGGAGCATTTCCTCGATTTTGGGCAGCGTTTTAAGAGTTCCAGGTTGCTTCTTTCACGTTCTAGTAGTCCTGCCTTGTAGTCTCTCCTATAGCTCCTACAGGAAATTCCCTTCATTTTTGAGAGCTGAAGTCAAAATATTGCCTGGCTCATGGACCATATTCCCTCTTGGAATGCTTGTTCGTATCGCTTCTTTCTCTTGTCCTTTTAGTAGTGATTTCCTTTTACTTCCCTCACAGGCCTGTTATGAAGAGGTGTAAAGCCTGTTCTCCTTTAAGCACCATCCATCATATTTCTTGTAAGGTGACCTGAATGGGAGATCATTTGGGTTATATATATTCAGTTATAATCTAGAGTCTACCTCAGCTGCTCCATATTAGTAAAAGCATGATCAATGTTATAGCACACTCATAAAACTTAATAAATTCTATAGTTTTCACTTAGAAAAACTTCTCAGCCATGGGGAGTCAGGGACACGAATTAATGTCCTATACCTGTGGTCAATACTTTGGAAACTTAAAAGTATGAATTCAGTGTTTTAGACATCTGTAGTAGCTTGTAGTACAGAAAATGTCTGTGTTGTGGGTCACTTGATCCTTTGATAAGTTTATTTCTAACTTTGCCTCTTATTTCATACCACACAGACCATGCTCTCTATTTAGTAGGTACTAAAGGTACTGTGGGCTGGGGAAGCAATTTTATCACATTCTGTACCAAAATATTCCACTTGGAGTATTAAAAAAGAATATCTAATTCCAGAATCTTGAGGCTACTTGAGTATCACGTAAACACTAGGATATACTAGGATTTATGCAGAATTTTAATATAACATTAAGATATTCCTTATCTAAAGACCTAAGATTGGAATAGGCTCTATTGATGATATCCTTATGGTTGCTGAGGCAATTCTATTTGCTGTGAAAAAAATAATTGTGTTACAAACCTAGCATGTAAATGAGCAGGAAACATATTTAAAAAGAAAAACTGTTTAAGGTCACTTGTCATTAGGAAATGACTTAGGGAGTAGAAATGGTTAAAGCTCTCCTTACAGAGCTGTTTTCTTTTTATTCCAATCAGGGAGCAGTGTCAGCTCCCATGCAAAATGAAGTGATGTGGCTCAGTGCACCTGGAAACCATTCATAGTTTTTGCTTTGTGGAATCCCTTTTCTTGACCTTGTGGCCTCAAATATGAAAAGCTGCCAAGTGCAGCACTGTAGCACTGTAAATACTCCTGAGGTCTCATTTCAAATATGTTGGGGTTTTGTGGGGTACGTAAAACCTGTACTGAATTGTTCCACCTGTGTGTGTCTCCTTCACTTGAACCCTCCTTCTGAGTCCACGCAATGTTTTGTTCCTCTTCACATACAGATCTTATCAATACGGAGAGAAAATGGTAAGAGAACAGGGGCCTTTCCAGCCAACAAAAGAGACATCTGAATACGTTGATTCTTCACCTAGTGGATGAGGCAAAGGCTGTGGAGGTGGTCTACTTAGACTTCAGTAAGGCCTTTGACGCAGTCTCCCACTGCCTTCTCCTGGAAAAGCTGGCAGCTCATGGCTTACACAGATGTACTCTTTGCTGGGTGAAAAACTGGCTGGATGGCCAAGCCCATAGAGTGGTGGTGAATGAAGTTAAATCCAACTGCAGACTGGTCTTGAGCTGTGTTCCCCAGGGGTCAGTGTTGGGGCTGGTCCTCTTTAATATCTTTATCAGTGATCTGGGTGAAGGTATTGAGTGCACCCTCAGCAAATTTGCAGGTGACACCAAGCTGTTAGGAAGAGTTGATCTGCTTAAGGGTAGGAAAGCATTACAGAAGGATCTGGACAGGCTGGAGCGTTGGACTGAGGCCAACTGTATGAAATTCAATAAGGCCAAGTGCCGGGTCCTGCACTTGAGTCACAACAGCTGCCTGCAGTGCTACAGGCTTGGGGCAGAGTGGCTGGAGAGCTGTGTGACAGAAAAGGACCTGGGAGTGTTGGTTGACAGCCAACTGAACATAAGCCGGCAATGTGCCCAGGTGGCCAAGAAGGCTAATGGCATCCTGGTTTGTATCAGAAATTGTGTTCAGTTTTGGGCCCTTCACCACAAGAAGGACATTGAGGTGCTGGAGTGTATCCAAAGAAGGGCAACAAAGCTGGTGAAAGGGCTGGAGCACAGGCCTTGTGAGCAGCGGCTGACGGAGCTGGGGTTATTTATTCTGGGGAAGAGGAGGCTCAGGGGAGACCTTATTGCTCTCTACAACTACCTGAAAATAGGTTGTAGTGAGGTGAGGGTCAATCTCTTCTCCAAAATAGCTACCAATAGCACAAGAGGAAATGGCCTCAAGTTGCGCCAGGAGAGGTTCAGATTAGAAATTAGGAAGAATTTCTACACAAAAACAATCGTAAGGCATTGGAACTAACTGCCCAGGGAAGTGGTGGAGTCATCATCTCTGGCAATGTTCAGGAAATGTGTAGATGAGGTGCCTAGAGACAAGGTTTAACATGCATGGTAGTCGAAGGGTTTACAGTCGGACTTGATGATCTTGAAAGTCTTTTCCAACCATAATGATTCTATGATTCTATGATTTTATGTAGATGATTAGCTCGGATCCTGTATGTGCTGGCCCATGATGTGGGGAGCTCAAGAGGTCTTTTTTTAGGTTACAAATCTGTTGTGCTCTGTTAGTGCACTTAATATTTAAAATACCTGTTTCTTGTATTCTTGCACTGTCGTGTGTTTTTCTGTACTACAGCTAATGATTTTTTATTTTGTCAGGTTTGGGATGAAACTCTTGCCAAGTCTGCAGAAGCTTGGGCTGCTACATGCATTTGGGACCATGGACCTTCCTATTTACTGAGATTCTTGGGCCAAAATCTCTCTGTAAGAACTGGAAGGTAGGCAGATGTATTACATAACTGGTTTCAATCTTTGAGATCCATATCTTAGACTTGATGCAAGCTTCTTCCATTATTCTAGCAATAATTTATATGCATCTATACTTTGCAAAGATTTTCATTTGGCTGAAAAGTATTGTTGCTTAATATTTTTGCCCTCTAGTGTTATCTGAAGAAATGCCTTAAGGTGACTTGAGTCAGTCATGGGGATTAGCAACAGAAAGTTCCAAAATTTCTAGTTTTGAAAGGGGTGCCTTTCTTTCTCTCTTTTAAACAAACCTAGGTATCGATCCATCCTTCAGCTGGTAAAGCCATGGTATGACGAAGTGAAGGATTATGCTTTCCCTTATCCTCAGGACTGCAATCCCAGGTGTCCTCTGCGGTGCTATGGACCCATGTGCACACATTACACACAGGTTATATAAATTCCATTCTATTCAAAATCTATGTCCAAAGCTGGACTTTTCTGTGATGTATTTATAGCTTTCTCTCATATAAATGTGTATATATATGTGTATATATATATATATTTCTTTTCAATGTGAACTTCACCAATAACAAATATTTATTCAGATGGTTTGGGCCACTTCCAATCGTATAGGCTGCGCAATCCACACATGCCACAATATGAACGTCTGGGGATCGGTTTGGCGACAAGCTGTTTACTTGGTATGCAACTATGCCCCAAAGTGAGTTGCTCTCTTTTAATATTGTTTATTTTTATATTTCATGAATGTGTGGGTCCTCTCATGAGACTACTTACTCCTTTTTCTGCTGTTTGACCTATATTTGTGCTTTATTTCTGTGGGCTGCTCATTCATCTTAACATGACATCTAACAAATGCACAGCTTTAGTATACAAGGAAGGAAAAAAAAAAAGAGGTGTAAGGAACAAAAACAGTTTTATTTTTAGTATTATTTGTACTGTAATTCTCACCCTTTGCCCTGGACTCCACTTTGCTTTCAATTCCTTTTTCCCTTACTCTTATTATAGATAATTTTGGTGAGTTGGACTTCTTCATGTACAGCATCGTTTTGAGATTAGGCCTTAGGGGACATCTTTACAGTGCATCTTGAACTCACACTACTGCCAAGATTATACCTTTTCTTATGACCATACTGTATAAAAAGGTCCCTATTATAGGCTTCTCATAAAGTCCATCTAAGTAAGCTCATTGTTTACAAATCTCATTTCATCTTGCAATGTTAGTGTCCTTCAAAGCAAATATCATAGATACTCATTCATGGCCCTATTTCATTTAGCCATGCAGAGATATATGTTAAGTTGAACGGAACCGTAGAACTGAATTTTCTCCAAGTATTCCCTGGATATCATCTCAAGCTCACATATGGCTGCAGAATGAATCAGTAAAATACGGACAAGAAGAGTGTGGTTTTGAGGTTTAGTTTGGACCAGTGCTTCAAAAATAGCATGGACAGCGTAAAAGGCTGCTGGTTTCTCTGACTGAGTAATATTAAGCTAAGATATAGTTCTGCATAGGAAACTAAATATAATGAATTGAATATGTTTTCCATAAACTCTCAGTGGCACACATCCATTTGTGGTAAAGAATATGCAAGAGAATGAATTTAAGTCATGTCACTATTCTATCTGCTCCCTGAGTATGAGTATTTTTAAAGGTTTTGCATCTTAAGATTAGATAGGATTTGATGAGAAAACTGTCTTGGAAAAAAAATCTTTTTCTTTCCTATGAAATCATGCATATTTCTGTATTCTTTTTCATATCTACTAAAAAGGAGAGATAATAAAAGAGAGGGAAGGATATCAGGCAGCAAAAACTGTATCTGACTTTTAGCTTTTAGCTTTGAGACTTTTAGCTACATGATCTGGACAAGGTATAAACAAAGTTTATAATAAATAGGAAAAGAATTACAACTACCACAGGATACTTGTCTTATTTTATTCCAAAACAGCAGTGAATTATGTCATATATGATACATGAGTGAAAATGGAGGTGTTACTGGTCTATCAATTAACAAAGTACTCATAACCTTTTATATTTTCTCAGTCTAAAAATCTCAGTAAGGTTTTCTGGAGTTTTCAGCTTCTTCTCTTGAAGAGATTTTGGGTAGAACTTTGATCTATAGCTAGATGAATAAGGATTTTCACATAGATTTCTTGCACAGTCACAGAAGGGTACAGAGAGGACTTTGCTCGCTTAAGGACATGTTCCAAAGAATCAATAAAGTTGCGTTAAGCATGTAAAGTTTCGGGCTCTTGGGCTTATATACAGATATGTCTTTGCCAGTGGACAAGGGCTAAGCAATCAGCATGTCCTCTAAGCAATCAGCATCCATGAACATCAGAATACAAGAATATTACACCCTCCTGGAATTTGGTGAAGATTTGGGGATTAGATCTCCTATAATGTTAACAGATGCCATACTGTATGTTCAAAAAAAAAAAGTGTTTCTGAAATCAGGGTAAAAGTAAAGTTAAGGAGGTAGGGGAGAAAGCAAAAATCAGCTTTCGGCAGACTCCTTCTGGATTTCCATATCTGTTATCAAACTAAACATATTTTCTGAGCACACAGTCTGCTGTACCCATTTGGAAGTGAAGTAGGAATGAGCAAATTATTTGAGAGATTCCTACTTTCTTCCAAGGCACAACCCAGACCAAGGCTTTTGATCCAATGTTATTGGCTAGGAAGTAGGGGATGAGAAAATCTTTCATAAATAATTGCATTACTCACTACTATACCACGTCACATGCAAACTAGAGGAAAGTTCTCTGCTCTGTGAGACATAACATTTAAATAAAAATCCAGTTTTAAATTACTTTCTTCCTGCATCCTGCATGATACATGAATCTCTAAAAGTCTGGGCGTTTACATAAGCATCCAAAAGATCCAATGCTTTTTTCCGATGTCCCAGATCTTTCAGACTTACCTCATTTCACGTGAGTTCTCTCCAGACTTGTGCTGCTTTTACCTAGAGCTCTATTAGAAACTGCATAGCTCTGTTTATCAGATGGGAGCCTGTGCCCTCCTCCTCCCATAGGTGTTAACCTATGATACCCCTGTGAACTCAGAAATATTATTCTTTCTAAGATAATACTGTTGTGAATAATTTTCATCTTCCCTTTTTCCTTAACCAGTCTCAAAGCTGGTTAAGCTGGTTAACCAAATTAATTCAGCCTCAGAGCCTCACAGTGTGGACTCAGGCCACTATAATCTGATAATAAGATTCTTAGTTGGTCTTTCTACCTTCAAATTACAAGATTTTAAGATAACTGCCAGAACTAAAATGTTCTAGGAGAACTTTGAATCAATATTCCTGCTACTAATTTCTCAAGAAAGGGTGCTCGCTGAATGATTATTATGTCCCAGAATCAGAGATTCAAGAGTCATTTGATGGTAGGAAAATCAACAGTATTGGGACTTTATTTTTGAATTAGTAAAACAATGTTTGTCACTAGACAGATATAAAAATATAGTTGCACATGTTGCACTGGGCACTTAAGGGATATCACTCAAAATTTTTTCTTTAATCTCTCAAAATAGATACCTTTAATGAATATATTTTTCTTCTCAATATAAGATAAACTTTTTCTCAAATGACTAATCATTCTTGTTCCTTTTATATTTTCAGGGGGAACTGGATTGGAGAAGCACCATATAAAGTAGGAGTCCCATGTTCTGCTTGCCCTCCAAGTTATGGAGGCTCTTGTACCAACAATCTTTGCTTCCCAGGAGTAACATCAAACTACTTATATTGGTTTAAATAAGTTAACATGTTTACATTTTTTAATGGCTGAATAACAAGAAGCTTGTATATTGAATTTTGCACATATTATATATAGAGAGATATTGTAATAACACCCTAATGTTTCCTTTTTGTATGCTTTGTATAGTTAGCTTTCAAAGTATAGTATGAATTTGTTTTTAACACTTTAGAATTTATGGATCACGTTAACTATTTTAGATTGGCATTGTGTAAAGAAGAGAAAACTAATTTTCACCCTAGCAAGTGTACCTTCTTGTAGATGAGGTTCTACTAACAGCACATTAAAAGATGTGTCAATTTATATCTAAAACGTCACTTCCCATTTAAAATGATAGGTCTAGGAAGAGAAGGGTCATTGTTTCAACACGGTGCTTTCCAATGGTGTGTATCATGAAAAAGCATCAAACTGTCCTCGCACTATCAAGGATTACTCCCATTTACACCTGTGCTTTCATCTGCAGTGCCAACAGGACTTGGAGAAGAGCAAAACACTATGTGCAAGAGAAACTGCAGGATGTTACCTACCTCATGCACAACCATAATTAATTTATGATATTTCAGGAGTTCAGCACACAGCTGCTGCTATCATCAATAATATCTGTGTGCAATGGGAAGAACAGAGGGAGTAAGGAACCGTGCTGGCCAGCATGCCAGCTCACAAGCCTAAAGTCTTATCTAACTAGACAGCTACATCACTTCAGATATACTGGTATAATCAACACAGTCACTTTTTCAGTTCTTGCCCCCTTGCCTATCAGAACACACTCATAAAAGGTACTTTGTAGCAGTATATTTACTTCTGTATAAGAAGGCAAAGAAATATATAGCTGCAAAGCAACTTTAAATGAATACATGCCATTCACTCTAAGTCTTTTACCACCCACCATTATATATACTCTCCCTCTGACTGAAACTCAGCCAGATTAAACTTTTGAGGATAGTTCAGATCTAAAAGCATATAAAAACATGTTCCAAATAAAAGACTACAAATGTATCAAGCTTAATTAAAACTTAATACAGGCTTGTAACAAAATTCTAAATTTCTAAAGCAATTGTGAGGGTTCTTTTCACACATTCCTTTCAAAAATGGAATTTCTCATGCTTATAAAGAGGGCCAGAACATTTTAAAGGTAGGTTTTTTTAAAAAAAAAGGTTGTAAAAAAAGAGGAAATTCAACATCTGCCACAACTACTATGTATAGCTGTCATTGAAATAGCCTTGAGTTTTGGCATTATATTATTTGGCAGAAAGTACTCCACATGTTTACTCTGCTTGCACTGAGTTTAGACCTTTGAAATTTGTGAGCTTTGAAAAGCAGTATCTACTACAACAAACACAACAACAAAGCATAATTTTGTGAGTAGTACACATGTATGTTTCAAAAACCACTTATTTGGTGCTTAAGAGGGTGTTTAAAATGGTCTATCACAAGAATATAAAGAATATTGGTGATAAAAAAGCGGGAATTTTTTACATTAGTTTTTTTTTTTTCTGATGAGAGAACTTGAATGGGTGGAATGGGCTTTAAAATGTACGAAGCAGCCCCTCTCCATCTGTCCATAATCTGATCACTCAGTGAATGTCAGCAGTTGATCTGTAGCTCTTCTAGTTAGTGACAATAAAATGTGTCCATGCTCTAGAAGAACAACCCTTGTAATATTCTGCAAATTTGTATCCCAATAATTGAAATATAAAAGTCTTTCCTTATAGTTTGAAAGGAAACAGTGCTTGGACAGTGAAGTGCTTTGTCTGAGTAAAATCCAGTCCTGTTTTGGGAGTGAAATACAACCTTTTTGCATCATTTATGTATGCATTTAAAGAGCTCTGTGAGGCAAAACTAAGCAGGTCACCAGCCCTCAGCCAGAGCAGTTTTGGACAAATATGCATGGGATAGTGCACCTCTACATTGTCTTGTATTTACAGTATTTATTTTTTTTTAATGCAACATGGGAAGCAGAGCATAAATAAGAGTCCAGGTTAAGCTGTAGGACCTACAACAGTAGGTCTGATATATAACTATGCACTTTGGAACTTGCAAATTATATGTTGTATGGTACACTTTCCAAACAGGAGTAGACATTGTAAATTAATTTATAATTCTGTAATTCAGCTGAAATAATTATAACGGGTATATATGCTATTGTATCTGTTACTGTTTAAGTCTCTACAAATATCTTCATTTTGTAGGATATTTTGTTTTCTATGGGCATAGGAAACTTAGCTATTAACAAACCGATATGCAGGTTTTTCACAACAACCCATAATGGTGCTAGAGATATTCTATTGTAATCACACTGTAGCTGATAGCAATAATCTGGGTACAAACAATTTCATAAGAGCAGCTCCTGATAAAACTAACCACAAGCACTCAAACCTTCAGATGAATATTCTTCATTTCACAGAATGGATTACAGCTATTAGACATTTGACTATCACATCAAATTTGCCCTTCTACTTTTTTTTTTTAATAGGTAGTTTACTGTAGGCCTTTCTGTATTATCTGTTTGAACCCCATTAATTTCTATTATCATTTTTTCTTGAGTTGGATAATGACCATGCCAGCAAACATCTACTTTGGTTGCCAGTTTCCACGCACTGCAACAACACAAGTGCTGAAATGTGCTGAAGACTTCATATGTCTTTTTGCAGTGTGTAAGCCCTTTGAGGCAAATTGTAGGCAAGTTCAAGGCTGCGCCAAGGCAATTTGTCCCCCATTGCTGTTCTGATGGCATTAAATATTTGAACCAATTCCTTGTGAACAGAGCAGTGTACCTTGAAGACAGTCTGGTTGTTGGAGAAATTAGGTCAGACTTGCAGTCTGTTCTAAATGTAAAACTATAAAAATTTACATGCACTAAAATAAGGTTAAAATATTTGTAGTGAAAATATTGTGAAGAGTGTAAGAGTGAAAAGGAAGTAATTGATATAATTAATCATTGAGTGCAGCTGTTTATGCCATAACAAGTGCTTGTGATTTTTTTTGGCTCATTTAAACTTTTAAGATGAAGAGTAGCAATTGGTGCTTTTGGTGCTAACCTATATATTCTGGTGCTGAAGTTACACAATATTTTTGTGAAAGATGAGGTTTACTTCTGATATTACCATATACACTCCAGTGTTTGTGAGATTTTTTCTATATATGCATATGATTTAGTCCTAAATCAGATTGGCTTGCAAAGTCCTTTTCTTAATAGTTGCTTCGGGATCTAAAGAGAATTTTACGTGCATCAGAGGGGAAAATGTATTTTTATTCAAAACCCATACAAAGAGGAACATCCCCTCAGCACAACAGCCGGAGGAAAAAAATAAGGGCAAAGTAAGACCTCTGACAGAAATGATTTCTGACCGATGTTAAGCTGACTTTAGTGATCCCAAATTGTCTCTCTGGGGTAATAAATGACTTCAGAAAACCTGAGCTTGACCTTGCACACCTAGCCTTGGGAAGCTGAATGTTCCCTTTCTTTGAGATCAGTTTGTTCTTCTCTGAAATCAAGAGGTGTTAGATCAGGCCTCACTGCGAATTAGTGTTTGACGGAGAAGTTTTGAGTTTTGAAGGAGAACTGCTTTCTACTAGGGCTGGACAGACAGAAAAATGAGACTTCATGTGTTGTGTCCCACCAAGACTGAGAATTCCCTAGGAATCTGAAAATGGAGAGGTCCCACAGCAAAAGTATTCTGTATCGTTGCTAGGATCTGTTGGAAAGAGGGATGTGTGTGTATATATATGTATATATACACATGTATGTATGTATGTGTATTCTCCAAGGATGAGGTTGTTAACATGGATGCCCTCTTGTGGTTGAGAATGCTGCTATGTTATTTACAAAATCAAATTTAACAACTAGGTGTTCAGGACAAATCTGGTGCTTTCCTCTTGTAAAATGAAATAATGTCATGGAACCTGAGCCTGCAGCATTTTAATGGTGCTTTAAAAAAATCTGTGCATAATTAATAAATTCTTCTATTCTGGTTATTGGGTCATAATTGGTCTGACTGGATTTAAGTCATACATAAATCTTCACATATGGGCTCATAAGGGGAAAATTAATTTTTCCTCAATAGCAACCTGAAACAATGTCAGACTTCTCAAAACTGATTTCTTTCAAGAGAAAATGAATTTAAAAAGCAAGACAAGATAACAACAATAAATGCACATCTGGTTAATTCAAGATCAGATTTTTAATTTATCATTACTGATCATAATTTCAAGACTTTCTGCTGCTTAACCTTCAGTTACTAAGTCTGTCTTAGGATATAGCTATTTTCTGCTAATGGAGAGCTCATATTGTGAGCATTTTAAAATTCACACAGATTAATGGAACTGTTGATAGCTACCCACACTCTGCTGAGCTCTGCTTTGTGAAGTACTGCAGAGAAAATGGTTGCAATTCAGTATCATCTTCTTGTCTTCTGCCAAAAGACAAAATTCAAAGTGAAGAAAGATTTTATAATTCCTCCAGCTTTTGGCACCTTATCATTTGACAATCACGTGGCAAATTCTTTAAAAATCCTTTTTACTGTCAGTCCAGATAAATTATGTTTTGGGTTTTTTTTTGTCTGGCAGTGCAAGAGAGGGAATGTCTCCCAGGTTATATGTTTAGTTCATAACAGTCAGTTGTTCAAATCATTGGGCTGTACATCATGCTGCAAACTCACTAGATCTTCAATATATCATCATATAAATTAGGAAGTATCTTATAAACAATATTTAGAGAAATAAACTTGTTCCTTAGGAGTGAATGGTAATATTGGATTCTAATGACTCTGAGGAGTTAAACACCTTTGCTTCATGTAGGGTGCTCTTATGTATTTGAAAAGGTGCTTAAAGGCAGGCTTCACGTAAGAAGCATCCATTTACAGCTGCTTTTCTATTTTCGTATGCAGTAAGGAAATAGGATTTTTCTGAGGATTGAAAAATGTTGGACAATGATGACATTTCTACGCTTTCTATCTGAACATAAGCCAAAGTGATGTTAAATTTCATTTATGCAATGAAATGGCCTTTCCCCCACTTTCATTATATATTTTCACAAATTCTCATTTACTCTTTTTTGATAATTGTGTGGGCAGAGCTGTTTCTGTTTTTTCAGAGAATAAACTTTGTTGTGTAATACATCTTGCAATGAACTTAGCAGTATAATATTTCTTTCATTTTGTCATATGATGCTATACACATTATACCTGAGACATAAATTTGTATCTTGTTTTTTAACTTCTAATATTATGAAACTAAAAAGAAATGTACATCATTTTGATCTGTTTTGTAACATGTATACATTTAAATAAATAATTAAAATGATTGGTATTTAA